ATATGCCTATTATATATCACATCTCATTTGTCACAGGCTGTGTGTATGTGCGAGTAGTAGTTGAAATAAGTGACAGTGGCATAAAATTTCAGTGAAAGGGCCTTCTTCCACTAAAACCAGAAGTTCTTAAATACCATGTTTCAACAGTTCAACGCCGTTACAGATTTCTGGGTGAGCTTTATGCCATCTTTAATTTCCTATTTATGCGAACTGCCCCAGAACCTGTGAATTTCTGGTAACTTTTTAAGATGAGAAGCGTATTGTTTGAGAGGGCCCGAAATCTCTTTTCCTACTGATTTGCCAGGAAAACTGGAAGCAATTAAATATTCATGATTCTTTTTGTGATTTTACCCTGGCATTAAAAACGTGTGAGCTTCATGAGGAAAATAATATAGAGCATGTAATCCACTGTATATTATGCTTTCCTTCTAAATTGGTAGTAACCAGAAACTGCAAAGAAATACACTTGTGATCAAAAGAAAGAAATTCCCTGATGTACCATTTCTATTTGAATTTATTATTTTGTGTAAATACGCTGCCTACACCTTGAAGTTGGTCATAAAACATTGATGATGTGGGTGAAGTGGAAAAGCAGGTTAGATTTAAGTACATTACTTCTCAAACAGACCACGGATCCGGAGACTTCTAGTTAGGCCAAGGAGAGGAAGATAAACAGCCATCGAGCAATTGTATTATTGTCTTTGCTTTAGATGTAATTCAGCACCCACTTTGTTAGAACTTCACTACAAAACCCTGCTTCTTTATGGCTCTTGATATTCATTTGTTTGATGATTGCATTTATGGAGAGTTGCTTGGGAGGAGTTTCTTAGAGAGTGACATGGTTTGATGGGGACAAACATCAAGTATTTGGATGTTGTGACAAAAAAAAAAAAAGCCAGGAGGAGAAATACTTGTTTGAATTTGAGCTTTTTTCCCCCCCTAGACTAAAATGAAAGGACTAGATGAGATTGTGAAGCCTCCGATGGAAATATCATACGTACTTGGCTCCACTGAAGTAACTTTATTGATTTGTGCGGTGGAATCGTCCTTGCAGAACAAGATCTAAGTGATGATGTTTAAGATTTATAGTAACTTGGTCGGCCAGCTTAGAAGGCTGAAACTACAGCCAAACCCCCACTCTTTATGTTAATATTTTTTAGACAAAAGGTCAAAACAAGCCATTCCAAGCTTGCAGTGAATCTAGAGCATCTAAAGCCAACTGAAACACTGCAGATATTTTGCTGTAGTAACGTCTGTTCTCTCTGTGGCTCATGGAAAGTCACATGCTCTCGAAGTCCTGTATGAATTGCCAGATTCAGGAGGTGCTTATTTTTCTGTATAAAATTCGGTGACATATTTCTTAAGAAATATGCTTCTTATTCACAGGGTATATTTTGTTCACTTCCTTCCCATAGAATAGTATTTCTATGTTGTCTGGTATTTCAGGAAAAAAAAGACAGTAAAATTTAAGACTATACGTTTGTATCTTCTAGGCCAGTCCAACCTTTGGACAACCACAGCAACACTTTCCGCTAACTATGGAATGAATTACCATCATATCATGGTACATTGACTGCACAGTCACTTTCAGGATACATCATCATTCTGAGGATTCCTTTGCAGTTCTCATTTTCAGAATTTTTTATATTTGAGAAAAATTCACATTAAGAACATTTTCAGATAAAGAAAAATTTTGAAGTACTAGGTGAAAACGTGTCAGTGTTTGTTTGTTTGTGTATATATATTTATTTTTGCTAGATTGGTAGAAGCATCTATATACTTGGGAGGAAATCTTGCTTTTAAACTAACATTGGTAAAGCTGTTTTGTGAAACTGAAAGAGAGTATACTTAGTAACAGGATTTTTTTATTTCCATAGGTTTGGACCATAATCAACTCTGTTGTGTAATTGTCTGCCTAGTGAACACCTTTGCTCTCCTGGCATAGGAAAGAGAGGGACAGTTCTGTTACACAAAAGCAATAGAGTATATACTATCTTTAAAAAAAAAAATCTTTTTGTTTGGAGTGTAGGAGGATGGAGTTTTTTATACTAACTTAGACATTTACCATATGCCTTGGGGGAGCAAGGTGTTCATGGAGCTTCGTGGGAATGTTTGGGGCTGATTGGGAACTGAAGTATATCCTGCCTTTCTAGCTGACCACATAATACACATCTTAAGATAGTGAAAGAACACTTCCTCAGACTTGTAAAATACAAATGTAGTTGCCTATGCTATAAATTGCAAATCAGAGTATGAAGAACTCCTCCCCTCAGTTTACATACTCTTGAGTGCAGTAGTGAAGGAGGGGAGGTGAGCAGGGCTCCTTAGCAGGTTTGGTGTGGTTTAGGGTTTTTCTGAATGTATTTATTTATCTTTTGTTAATGTAGGATGATCTAGGGCAATGTCCAAACAGTAAGAAATGACAAATAACCCCTGAGGCAGGTAGCACCACTCCTTGCTTTGGTGGAAAAGTTTGGCGTGTGCTTGTGCAATACTTAATTATCCCACTTCACATGATCATGCAGAGCTGAAATTTGCACTAACTTGTGAGTATTTGCTCAGGTTTGTTATGTTACAAGAAAAATGACACTTTATAGATACTGATATTATATTGAAGTCTACTTAATGCTTTAAGATGTTAGGTGACAACTGAAAACTTGTCCAAGTACTATGGAGCAACACTAGGCCCCCTGAAGAACATGATGAACAACTTTTAAAAAATTTTTTTTTCAGTATAAACTCATGCTTTGATTTACAATGCTAATTTGTGCAGCTTTTGACTAGCACCAAGTATTCTATACTTATGAGTATCACTTGTATTACTTCCATTGAATTTTTTTAGACCAGGTTGTTTAAGATTTCAGAAGTTGTTGGTGTGTTGTTTTCTTTTTTTCATATCAATGTTCTATTAAAAACATTTGTGGTTTAAGATTTAAATAATGTTTTTTTGTCTTTTAATAGGTGAATGTCTATGTGCTGGGAAAAACTTTCCTTCTGTTGGCCAGAGAACTCTGCATAAATGCTCCAGCCATAGGTATTTTTTTTTTTATAAGTTGACTTTTGAGTATTTGGGTGTATCTTCTGCATGGTTACTTGACAAGAGTATGTATGTACGTGTATATATACATAGTGTTATGTGCTAAATGCCAAAGTGCTAATTTAGAAATGAAGCTGTAATCAGTCCAGAGAGAGGAGCATTGCTGACTATGAGAGCCTGTTCTCCTTTGTTCAAGAGTTTTTTGGGAGCTAGATGCTATTTTCTTTTACAAATAATTTTGTTGTTTTTTCAAAGAGTAGTTTAGGCTATACCAAGACAATGGGCTGACATACAACAAACTTGTGAGCATCCAAAAGCTCGCACAGGCCTGTCCCACTTCAATTCCACTGAGATGCAACATTTGATAAATATTTGCCAAATTTACTATCTGCCCATCACCTGTAGCTGAGGTGTTCAGTGCTTGAAATACATGTGGCTTGATGGAAAAGCAGGAGCAACTTTTTCCAAGCATGTGAATAACTTTTTAATTAGAAGTCTTCACTGAAATCATAACACAGTGATAGGAAGGATACCTGTCAAAAGAGTAAAAGAAGCTACTGTCGAGGCTGTAGCTTCTAAGCCAAGGGAATTCATGCCAATTCCAGTTAGAAGAGTGCATTTATAGAGAGGTCTTGTGACCGTTACCCACCTCTGTGCAGGAATTTTCTTCCTGTGCCTTTATCCACTCTCTCTCTCCTTAATCTGTACTGAGAGAATCAGATGCATTGGTGTTCAAGACCACCACAGACACACCCCCCCCTTCACACACGCTCAGCTGGGCACTAACTGCCTGCCTTTGCAGCACGCGAACCAGCAGCTCACGTATTGAGCATCGTCACAACGGCATCCAGAGAGATGTGGCAGTGCACGGCTATTGGCCATCGTGGTGTGCTGGCTTCATTAGCGTAGCTTGATGTCTGGTAAAGAGTTCTTGTTTTCAGTAACTTAGCTGCCTTACTTTTCATTTCCTTTTTGAGAGAGAACAGGCACAATTTGTATTGCAGGTTACTTTACTTTCAAGGTGAAAATGAATGCAGCTTAGGAAAAGGCAAACAGAAAACCCTTCTAAATTAAAGGTAAACATTTTTCCACGTTATACATGGAAAAAAAACTGGCTTAGGCTGCTGTTGAATATTCTTTCCAAGGTCACTATGAGAAGAGAGATTTATTAAAAACAGTAAGTATTTCTAATAGGCTCATTTGTAATGATTGTCATACCCTTGAGGAAAAACACCTACATTTATCACTCTCTGAGAAAAATTAAGGGTAGCGTCTATAAAATGACTGCCGATAGTGGACAGGACTATGTTTTGGAAAAAACAGGGGTGGAGGAGAGATCCAGCAGCTTTTCATTCAAGGTGGCTTATTTCTATTTAGTGATTTTGAGTGAACTTAAAGACCCTATTGCAAGTATTTCTCTCATATCTGCTCCTAAATGTGAGGATGGGATGTGTATTTAGATAGTAGCTGCCAGTATTACAGCTCTGGGCTGAATTTGTGATAAAGCCTGTCACTGCACTAAGCTTCAGCTCTAGGTCTTGACTCTGGCCATCCAAGTGGGGTGCAGTTTGACAGGTGTGTCAGTGTTGCCGTTTGCCGGGCAGGCGGGAGGTTAACACAAGATGATGTGTGTGAATGGGCAGTAGCAGCTTTCGAATATAACCACAGGATGATTTTGATCAACTTCGATTACACTCATGGTTTGTCTATCTTCAGCTTAGGCAACACCCAAAAATGCTGAGCTTCCACACATGTCAGCTCCCTTTTTCGTGAAGGAAAAGAAAGGCCACCGATGGCTAGTCTGACTTACCTGGCAAGGGAACCGCTGTAGTTGCGGTGAGAGCTAATGCCCTTTGTAAATGCACACAGGGGACAGACTACAGTATCATCACCCCTGTTAACTATACTGTAGAGGAATTAACAGACACAAGCCGTAAGATCAGCAATGATCAAGTACACAGGATTTAGGGCAAGTAAAAATCTTTTATATTTCACAGATTCATAAACTGCTCTAGTTTAGAACATTCTGTTTAAGTCAGCTGCAGTCTGCAAGTTAGTTATCTATATACAAAATAAATGCACAGTACGTGCGAAATTTAACATTTTTCTGCTAGTTGCAGTCTCAATAATTAAGTCAAATAGCTTATGAATAAATAAAATAAGATTAAATTCAAGAGCATTCCTTCACTTATTTGTATAGCCTGATGTAGCAGATAAGTAAGTAGCGTAACATTCCATACTGCTGCAGAGTTCATAGTAAAACTGGAAAAAAAAAAATCCCTTAGTGTGCATCATTGCAGTATTGGAATATAATCAAGGTGAAATGCATCATGCGTAGAAAATGAGCTCAGGTATTTGTCCTCCTTGTACTCCTGTTCCGTTAGTACTGTCTGAGGAGCACTGGAACTGGAAGGTCACTTTCCCGCACTGCACTTCAGTCATTCCCTCTTGCCCAAAGTAACTGAGTTCATTACCATCAAGAATAGCACTTACATTGTAAAATGTGTCTTGCTCAACCTGCACAGGGTGTTCAAACCACACAGAGAAAGTGTTACTGGAGCCGTCAGAGGTAAACTTTGTCAGATTTTGAGCAAGGACAACGCCTAAGCGCTTCAGTTCGATTTTGACACTGTATTCAGCTTTGCCACAGCTTGACCCATACAATCCCAGTCCTGCTATAAATATCCGTTTGTCTACGGCAAACTGAATACTGTCACACCGCCCTCGGTACCTCCACTGATTGCTGCGATATGCAGATGACTGAAACCGATGGCATCGCTGAGGTACAAGTCCTTTTCTTTTTGTCAGCGGAAACTCTAGTTTGGGTTTATTTGCGGCTGTGTACCATAGGAATATGTTGTGAGTTTCCTCAAGGGTGAGGATGTCGGACTGGGCAGCTCCGTTGGCAAACTCTTCCAGAGTCATGGTCGGAATCCGCACCAAGTACAAAGCTTTTCCTAATACATTCCTCTTGTTGCGTGGCGTAACAGGCAGCCCTTGCCTTTTGCATTCAGCCTCTGCCCAGTTGAGAACAGCCTCGAAAACTACCACTTCCTTGGTGTTGAGTGCCTCCCGGGTTACAATGATCTCTAGTGTTTGTTGATCTATCTCACAGAAGCCCTCTGACTTCAGTGCCATTTCTGCTTGAGCATCAATCACTTCCCAGCAGCGCTGCGTCAGCTCTGGCTCCTCGAAGAGCCTGCTCTGAGACAGCAGGACACAAGCGTTCTTCGCTTCTAAACTGGTCTCCAGAAAATTGACGCAAGCCTTTGCTAGGGCCGGCACGATGTACTTCTTGGCAGCATACAGCGTAGCCAGAACTGTGTCAGCTTCCAGGTCTATTTCATCACTATACATGTATCTAGATGGGAGGGGGGGAAAAACCCACAGTTTTAGCGG